ACATGTTACTGAGTGGGTCTCCTCTTTCAAGTAGATTTAAAGGACTTGCTGCTGGACAGAAGCTGTATTCGGAGGTTTCAGCTCTTGCGTATATTGCCATAGTTTTACAATTGCTAGCACCTTTCACTAGGAGTGTGGGGCATGTGCATTGCTCAAGGTTTTATTTAAGAAGGTCACCATTATACACCATTATAATTTTTTACATTGGCAAAAATCTAGATTTCAATTTGTTGGTATCTTTTTCCAAAGGGCGGACTTGCAAGTGATAAGACTTCTCCAAAATGTAGTTTTCTTATAGTATAGAAGTGGCATATAGTAGGCTTTTAATATACATGGTAAGCTAACTATGACAGGCTTTTAATACATGTGTTTCAGTATTGGTTTATGGGATGGAAAAACCAGAATGTACTTTTTTTAAGGAAGTGGAGATACTGCAGATTAAGTTGCCTTGTAAAGTGTGTATGTGTGTGTAAAATTTTTCCCCATGCCCTATATTTTGGTTCAGATTGAAACTCTTATTCTGCTTGTATGAAAGCAGTAGATGCAAAAATAGGTTACTGGGGCTTTGGAGTTGCATGAATAAGGGCTAATATATGAGTAATACATTTTAAAGTAGCATTTATATAGAGATTGAAAGTACCACAAACGTGTGCTCAGAGCATGTTTCAAATGAATGTTTTGTAAATCTCCCCCTGCCCCTGCCCCACACCAAACATGACTCCAGAACCATACGGGAACACATTACAAGACTGTAATAGCTATATTGTAACAGGAACAAAAAGAATGGTCAGCAGTAAGGCTGCAAACAGATGCCACCTCTTGTGCCATCATAAAATGTTTATGGTGGCACAAAGTGAAAGCAGACAGAGTTGCATGGCCTTTGTTATGCCACAAATGTACAGTTTTGCAGCTGTGACAAAAGGTAATATTAACTTGCACTGCTATTTTGCAGCAGACATCTATTTTAAGATGGGAGAAGGTTGGCAGCCTGGAGTTGCCTGTGCTCTCCCGTTGTCTCAGGTAGGCACTCTCAGGGCTTCAGGATCCCAATCCAGCATGCCCCAGGAATTCCTCTGCAATGGATCTGTCCAGGGAAATTCCTGGAGTATGAAGGATTGGGGACCCTTGGAGCACCTGCCTGGGTTTCCCCATCTGCAGAAGCTTGCCCAGGGATTCCAACCTGGGGCATGCCTTTTGTGACTGGAGAAACCATGGTGTTTTCCACTTGCAGAGGCATGCCTGGATAATCTGACTCGGGGCATACCTCTGCAAACAGGGGAAACCCCAGGGTTCCCTACTTGTAGAGGTACACCCAGAAATTCCCATGGCACACCTGTGCAAGCAAGGAAACCTGGGGGTTTCCTTGTTTGTAGAGGCATGCCCTGAGTGTTGTTCTGCAGGACTGGGCCCCTGTGGGACAATGGATACTGCCTGTCTTGCTCAGTGAAGCCTATTGCTTGTGCCAGGACAAATCCTAGCATGGTGGATCTGCTTCATTTGATGACATTTGTTTTATAGCCTAAGAATAACTAGTTGATTATGGCAAGAACATGGCATATGTGGCTTTATAGTAGACATACTTAAACTCATTCTGATTTTAGAAGTAGCAGTTTTTAACTTTGTTCTCAATATTTAAATTTGAGATTACTTGTAGAACTGGAATTAACTTAAAGTGCACTCATCTAAAAATAATGTGCAGTGTTGGTCATTGCACTTGACGTTGGTCAATTTTTGTGACTAGGAACAGGTATTGAATTTGTCCCTGGACAAGTTGTGCTTATGTCTATCCTGGAACAGAAATAACGTGAAATTGACATGTACACACATTATCCTTCTAATCAGGTTTTAGAGAACAGCTGAATGCATTGCCATTTTTGTGGCATTGATTCAGTAATACAATCCTGGGATAACTGTTCAAATGCACTTTGCAATGTCCGAGGATGTATGTTAGTATTTCTTATACCATGAACCCTTTCAAGATTTATTCCTAGACAACAGGCACTCACTTTGTCTTGGGATAAAATGGTTTATCTTGAGAGAAATTTGACAGCTGACAGTCTGTACAATTGCATTATTGCATATTGTGTGTATTTCCCTGTCATTTGTCTTCATCTCAGAGAGTAAACTCTTCTTTAGACATGTCTTCTGTGTTTTATGCCAGGTGCTACAGGAAACAATGGCCACTGATAGAAAACAGTGTTGTAATATTAAGAAATCAACTAGGAGAAACATGCATACTTACTAAAAAGTTAATCAGTAACATTACTCTTCTTGTTTTGAAGAAGAGATCTTATTTTTGATGGCTTGTTCAAATACATATGCACATTTTAGTTATATTATGAGATAATTAGGGGAGTGATTTCATATTGCTTTTAAATTTTCCTGTATGTTTCTTTAACTATAAAAGTATAATTTTACATTTTTTTGTCTACCTTGCTGCTTTATCCTACAGCCAAGGAGATATTACTTGTATGATATTTTATAGCTGTAAACTAGCCTCTGGAAATGAGCAAATAATTAAATCTTTATATGATCTACATTCCTCAATCCCATAATATACTATTTTTCAGATGACAGATATCCATGGGACACTTAAAATATTTTATTTTCATTATAACAAACATTCCAACACAGTTTATAATAGTTTTTAACATAAATTCAAAAAACATGTTAATCACCAAGCAGACAGAAATATGGCCTAAAGCCATTTTCCTGTGAGTAACATAGGCATCTCTTTGTGTTTTGAAATCTCTTACACTATTTGCTGTATGTATTTGAACGTGTTTAATTAAAAGATACAAGTCATATTATTTTCTTAACTGATCCTAGCTGCCTCCCCCCAGCCCACCCCCTGCAAAAAAAAAAAAAAAAGAATTCTAATGTTTTAATACTGCTGAATTATTTTAAAATAAATTGATAAAAGCTGCTTAATCTCAGGGGTGCCTAATGTTCTTAAGCTTTCAGAAAGACACCTCTTTCTGTGTATGGGGGAAGTCTGGTGTTGACACTGCTGATGTCACAGCAGAACACACTTGCATAACATATTGCGGTTATATGAAAATTAGCACAGTGCTTTGCTGTTCTTTCTGGATCTCTTTAGCTATAACTATGTTAATGGTTTGACTCAGAGTTGTTCCTGGAGGGCAGCCTTGAAAGCTTTGGTAAACTATGATGTAGGAAGCCTTTTAGGCAGTAGTTAAGTAGGAAACTGAACACCAGAGAAGGAAGTAATGAAAAGTAAAAAGGTATGTTAGAGGAAATGCCATTATTATGTGGTGCAAAACATGGTGTGAAATGTTATAAAGAGGACATCTGTAACTCTCAGCTTGTACTGAGTGGACACCTAAGTGAAGCCATGTCATCTTGATTAAAAAAAGAATAGAGGAGTAAATAATGCAGGGGAAAATAGAAAAAAAAATACAGAGCTCCCCACCCAGGATAGTAGGTTTCTTCTAGTAGAAGATTAAAGCTTGAAGTAACTGAATAGCTGAGAAAAATCCAAAGAAAGGTTGATTGCTTCCCCTCCAACAGTTCCAATTGATTGAAAAAAGCCTAATTTAAAGTTCTGTTTGTTCTGTGTCTTAAACCATCAGAATTTTCTTTTAGAACTTGGGGAATGCTCTGGAAGAAAAAGAATCCAAGGATAAGAAGTCATTGCAGACCAACAATTGTTCCTAATCCTCACAAAATGCTTGAGAAATTAAATTTATTCTTTATTGCTCAAAGTGTTACCTAGGTCACTGGGCGATGGGAAAATTGAACTGGAAGTCGAGTAGGCGCAATCTTTGTTTTGTGTCTAGATGCTTAACCTTAGACACGACAAGGCATCTTAGAGTGTTGTGGGAACTTGGTTCAGAGTATTAACACCAGGACTTTTATTACCCTGGATTTATAATAGGCTATGCTGTCAGTAGATGAAAATGTTGTGTTTACATTTCGGTGTTAAATGATCATTTAATTAACACCTAAGGAAAAAAAAACTTGTGAAATTCTTAGCAGCTTTTATTGTCGGTTTCCTTGGAGGTTTTAATATCCAAGTTACACTGCAATTGCTTCTTCAAGTACAGCTAGAAAAGACATTTATGAACTTAGTCAAGAAAGACAGACAGTTTAACCCCTGTTGACCCTTCATCCTAAACGTTGATTTATACAGCATTTTAAATGTAGTTCTCTTTTTTTGTGTGTATGTGTGTATGCACATTACTTTAGAGAATGTTTTAGTGTTAAAATAGCAGCAACAGTTGCTTTTTCTATTTATTTTTAAGTAACCCAATTAGCTCTTATTAAGAGCTATAAATAAATCAGTGGCTTGTTTCCGTAGAAAATTACTATAGTATAGTGTAGGCTTGCATTTTATAATGTTCTTAAAAGCTTGTAGTTTGACCATATTAATATTTTGTTGTTTAAAATAGGTGACTACATGCAGGAAAGAAGGTTAAAGAAGCGTATCTTATAGTGATTGTAGTAGCTATTGTATGTTTGAAATCTTCAAAAGGGCTACAGGAAATTGGCAAGAGAAGCAGCATTAGCACAAAAATGCATATCCATTTTAGCCAGCACAAATCTGGTTTCATATGTTCTATTGTATCGGAGAAAGTCAAGGCTATCCAATGCTTTAATTTGCTCTTGCTTCTTAATAATGCTTTTTGCCATAACGTAGATCTATAAAGCAAGTTTAATAGCTTTTTGCATCCTAGAGCTAATACTAGATAAAACCATTCGCTGTTAAAGACAAGCAGCTGCTCTGCAACTGGTGTATTTTTAAGACATGTTAGCCACAGTAAAAACTGAAATTACAGCTACATTCGGGGAACAATGCAGAGATTTTAATGTATTGTTTTTGGGGTTAGCTTAGAGTTCTTTTTTCTTTCATCTCTATTTTAAACTTAAAAGGTAGACAATATTAAATAATAACAAATCTTTTGATAAATAAAAAGCAAAGCACTTAAAAATTTTTTATTTCACCAGTGACCTAACCAGAATTGCTTATATATGGTGGCTTTTTTTTTAATGTCCCCCAGTCTTTTGTAGAAGTTGGTCTGGAAAGCTTAGGCATCTCTTGACAAGGGTTAGCTGTATATTTCCCCTCTCCGACCCCCAAATAGTGCAAGATACACAATATCTAATTAAAACTTATAGGAAGGTTATGCCAAACAATGTATACCATCAGTTGTATATGAAGGTAGGACTCTAATATTGAAAAATTGTCATGTTTTGAGAGCATATTAGTTATTCATGGAAAATAATGTTTACATTTGTATCATTCAGTGTTTAAATCTGTTTCCTGCTGTAGCATTTAAACGAAACATCTTAAATTATTTTTTAAGATGTGTTTTTGGGAAAAAATTGCAGAAACTCTAAATTAACATGTCAGAGGAAAAAAGGACTTAAAAGGGAATTAAAGTGTAAAGCTACATCACTGGTTATTCACAGAGTACTCATCTTGGATAGCTCAAATGTATTGAATTGGTGAATAATTAAAGATAAATAATATGTGCAAGAGGAAATAATTTAGTCTTTCTTTTTACATGGAAATGCTTTAGCTGGAGCTACTTTGACTTGCATGGAGTTCAAAGAATTGTGGAGAGGTTCCTGAGCATTACCTTAATGAAGATTAACTTTCAACAATTAGTAAATACTCTTGTCATAGTAAACAAGCAAAAACCTCCATAGATATGCAATGTGCACTATTTTATCATGGACAGAGGGGGTGCATACTCTTCTGCCGTCCTGCAGAACTTCTTGTAGGCACAGGTAGTTCTTTGCAGTAGTGGGGAATCTGTCTGGTTGGTCTGCGTCTTCTACCTTTGATAAGGCCACTGGTCTAGGGAAAGAGCAAAAAAGATGTATAGAAAAGAGTAGGAAAGGTAGGAAAAGAGGATTAACCACTTTTGGTAACTTTATATAATGAAAGAGTAGGAAAGGTATTTTAAAAGGATGCCATGTAAATTGGGTATTCTCTTATTTTGGAAATAAAAAATGCAACCCCCCCCCAAAGAAAAAAGGACTGGGGGTCAGTTTCATGAGTAAAAATAATGCTAAAACAATCATGGGGAGGGGGGAGGTGAGGAGAATTCACTTAACTGGATTATGAGAGAATTCCTCTGTGACTTACCCCCTTCTCTAACCATGATGAACTGATGCATCCAGGCAGTATTCCAAGGAATTTATGTTCTATCTTTCTTTGCATTCCTGGTTATGCCCTCTGTAAGAGGCAGGATATAAGATTTAACTTTCCTCTGTAAATGTATAAAAGACTGTCCTGGGAAAAATACAAATAGTTTTTCCTTTTTGTAAACTTCTTGAAAAATAGCAACATAAAGCCTTCTGCTATACATACTTTTTATATTCTGTGCCCCCAGCTCAAGGCAAAAAACCAAAAACAAGAGAAACTGTTGGTAAAATAAGTCTTAAACTGTGCCAGTCCAAATGAGTGTCAGACTGATGGACTGGAGAGGATGCAAAAGTTATACTGGAGTGCATCCCACAGAAAGTGCTTTCTTTTCAGACACCTAGTGTTCGAATTTTCGGATGATCAGCAAAAATGCCTCAGCTGGCCTCAAGTGCAGTGGCAGGTAATGGATGGAGACAAGCCTGTTGGCCAGTATTTAAACCATGTGTAAGGAGTCATTGTTCTCTTAAGTTTTTAAATGTAACTTAGAAACAAGGCAAAATATATTATTTCTTTGAAGACTGTAGTAGTATTTTTTTTCTTTTCCCTGTAACTAACCCAACAAGTAACATGGCCAGCTGTCATATTCAACAGTTGTAGTATACAGAAGTAGGCCATCTATGGCACAGTGGTAGCAAAGATGTGAGTGTAGATAAAAATGGATTGTTTTGTATCAGAGAAGCACTTTTTTTTTTCAGAGCAGCAAAGACATCCCCTGGGGAAAATTGGTAGTAAGCGGGGATCTATAAGCATCTTTCAGTTATCAACTGCTAGAAAACTACCTTTTGTGTTTCGCTAGAAGACTATCGCAGTTTGGGTCTTGTTACAGCTTATGCTGTAAGCCACCCACATGTTAATTGACTTAGTATTGCTCGGCTTAGTGAAGTAGTCACACCTTAAGGCTAAAAACTAGGGCTGTGAGAAACTTCAGCAGCCATTTTATTTCAGAGGGGTTTTGGCGCATTTTGGCACCCAAAACACTGAATGTAAAAACTAAATGAAAGGCTCTGAAACATCTCTGAAACGAAACAAAACCATCCAAAACGTTTCGGAAAATTTTGGAGTTTCGAAGCCTGGCTTGCAGGGAAACAAACTTAAAAGAGGGAGGGGAGAGGGGAAGGACCACTCTGATTTTGACATCTGTAGCTGGCCAGTGTCTGCGATCTGTCCCTGAGGTCCCTTCCAATCCCAGTGTTCTGGGGTAGGGACAGCAGCCTGCTGTCATCCCGTGCGCAGATCCAGGGGCCTGGGCTCCTTGGGAGGAGTCTGACACAGCCCTGCAGCCCTCCTGGGGGGCACAGACCCCCAGATCTGCATATGGGATCACAGCATACTGCTGCTGCTGGTTGGGACCAGTGCCAGCACCCAAGTCTGCTTGGCACAGGCCGCTCTGACCACTGGAAAGAACCCGGTGCTGGCACTGGCCCCAGCTGGCAGTGGCAGCCTGCTGTCATCCTGCATGCAGCTCTGGGGGCCTGCACCCCCTGAGAAGTCTGTCACAGCCCCGCAGCCTTCCCAGGGGGTGCAGGCCCCCAGATCAGTGTACTGATACATTGGACAAACGTATGTTACAAAACTGTAACATAGAAGATACCAAAATGTGCTGTTTGCAATGGAAAATCCACAACCTAAAGGAAAAAGAAGCCAGACTCTATCCTAACTGCACAGTTGGTCCAAAAAAGGTATCACCCTAAGAAATCCTTGCCCCTTGCATCATTTCTGGACTATGATGCCTACATCAGTCTTACACTACTGTGTATAAACTGCTTTGTCTACAGATTTCATTAGTATATTATGATATGGGAAAAGTCTATTCCTTGGCATTATTTCCTTTGGTAACATCAGAACTGTGGGTAAAATATACCAGAATTAGTTATTTGCAGGGGTGGGAGGGTAGTACTGGCCTGGGAAGTATAGGAAATGCATTTGATGCAAAATCCAGATCGGCATTCAGTGAGAGTTGTGGGGGAAAAGTATGAATGCCAAAAATATCTAGTGGTGATATTAAACATTCTTTGCAATACAGTATGGTAGCAGTAAGACTATTAATTTTTGCTCTGAATACCTAACCAAAAGGAAAAGGTTACATTAGAGGTAATTGAAAGTAAAGCTGGAATAATCATCTTGGTGGATAATAATTTGCTATAGGAAAAAATGTTCCAGTTCAATGAGAAACATTCATGAACTCAACCCAAATTCAGGAATCAGTTCAGCCAAGCATTTTTTTTCTTTTTTTGGCAGGTGCAGAGGGGATGGGGAAGGTATTGAGTACCAGAGTAGAAGAGGACATGGTTAAGTTGTTGTTTGCTCATATATCCAGCAGTTAGGACACCTACTGGGGAGGTGGGAGATGTAGGTTTATAACTCTAAGAAGAGGCAGAGGAGAAAATTGAATAGCCACTTGAATACAAAATTGAATAGCCATTAAATATTTATTAATATTCAATAAATTGAATATTAGGGTACCCTTTTGGTAGTTTCCTTAAATATTTTTTGTTGGAGCTGCTCCACTTTGTATAATATTGAAATATTCAATGAATGAGAGAGTGTGCAAGCGTGACTCTCTGACCTGAAGGTTGGGATGCTACCCTTGGAGGGGCACATCTGGTTTTCAGTCCCCAATCCAGTGAGTATTTATATATTTTATACAAAATGGAATGCCATCAAGAAGCAGTGATAGCAACCCAGCCCAGAACAGCATTGTGGAAGGCCAGTAATATGGTTGGTGGAAGATCTGTGTTCATATTACTTCTGTCATTGAAGGAAATGAATTCAGGTCTCCCACAGCCTTGAGTTAATAGCCAAGGCACAGGACCACAGGGGCAGAGCAAGAATTAGCTGCATGCATTGTCATCACTTTGTGAACGGTACCAGAGTCTAGCCCTGTATTTTCATTGCTTACTTTTTCATGACCAAAATTGATTTTAAACCTTGTGTTTGATCCACAGTTAATTTTTAGCTTTTCATTATGTTGAATTGAAATTTTCATTTCAGTTTGGACTGGCTCAATTTTTGCTTTATTTCTTAGGACTCAAATTGAAGAAAAGTTTTTGTTCATCCATTGTGAGGGTAATTGAGCAGAGGCTTTGGTGGAATTGACTTTTGAGGAAAGATTAAAATAAATAGGTGTGCACATTGGCTACGCATAGGGGGTGCATGCGAGTGCACGCGCACCCCGTGTGATAGGCTGCACACCCCCTGGAAGTGCCAGACATGAAACCAGAAGTGCTGCTGGGGGACTTACTCTGGTCAGCCATCTGGTGCCCCCTCAGACTTGGGAGGCACCATGGGTGTGCATAGATTGCCTAAGCAATGATTGGGTAAGGGAGGGAGGACAATGTTTGGAGGAGATTTTATTATATAATACAAAAATTTAAAAGTAGGAGAAATACAGTAGAATTAAAAATGTCATAGTTTCATAGTTGGTAGGGTCGGAAGAGACCTGAGCAGATCATCAAGTCCAACCCCCTGCCATTGCAGAAAGAGTACTGGGGTCAAAAGACCCCAGCAAGGTGTTCATCTACCCTCCTCTTAAAGACCCCCAGGATATCAATTTGACAGAATATCAAGGAAAGTATCCTAACAGTTATCCCTGTTAATCTGTAGAATGAAGTTCTAAAGGAAGTGGTAGAAG